ATTGTAGGGGAGATGTGAGAGGCCTATGAACTCTGAGCTGTGCACCTTGCAGAGATCAAACCAGGAGTCCTACAGAATCCAGGGTGCTGTGCCTGCCTAGTAGCTGGGAAAACTGACCTCAGTCCTTCCCTTCAGTCTTCTATCTGACCTCCGTCGTCCCCTTCAGTCTTCTATCTGACCTCCGTCCTCCCCTTCAGTCTTCTATCTGACCTCCGTCCCCCCCCTCAGTCTTCTATCTGACCTCCGTCCTTCCCTTCAGTCTTGCACAGTTGTACCGGCTCCTCTCCTCTTCCTCTGATGTCACTGCACACTGGAAGCTCCTCACAATGTGCATTAGAAGCTGCAGCAAGTCAGATAGAGCTCCGCCTCATTTCCTGGCTGGAGTACGTTCAGCATCATCTAGCGCTTTCCTCCCCAGCCTGAGTGTCCCTGGTCCCGCCCCTTTCATTTATTGGACTTCATTTTTTCCACTCATAGAGGCTAAGCATCAGATGTAGGTGGTACTTGTGGTGCCGTGCATGCAAATACGTCCTAACTAGGAACCCCCACTCCTCCAAAATGCCACCCACCCTTCAAGATATTTTGATATTTGCATAACTCCTCCCAAGAGCCACCCCACTGCTTGCATGAGGGCTCTTGAGAGGAGTACTCTGGCAGGGTGCTGTGATGTTTTTAGAAAGCCGTCTACAGTGCCCTGCCACCCCCTGCCACCAGCCGTGATCTGCCTGCATTGTATAGAGAAGCACAGAATAAGAAAATAGAAAGGTTTTTTTTAAACATTTTAGTAGTATGTTGATGGGGGGTGGATAGGGAAGGTAACATTTCAGCATATTAAGCTTCTGGGAATGCGTGTTTATTCATCCATACTTTTCAGCGCTGTCCCCTGCAAAATGTCAATTTCTCCTGTAGGAGGTGCTCCTCTTCTGAGTTGAATGACACCCAGTGTCATTCAGCCACTACCTGTGCAGCCAACGCTGGGGGTGTGGCGGCGCTTAGATATCATCACGTGTGCAGCAATCTATGCTGGAGCGAGAGCCGCCCGTAGTTGAGCGAGAGCCGCCCGTAGTTGAGCGAGAGCCGCCCGTAGTTGAGCGAGAGCCGCCCGTAGTTGAGCGAGAGCCGCCCAGCGTTGAGCGAGAGCCGCCCAGCGTTGAGCGAGAGCCGCCCAGCGTTGAGCGAGAGCCGCCCAGCGTTGAGCGAGAGCCGCCCAGCGTTGAGCGAGAGCCGCCCAGCGTTGAGCGAGAGCCGCCCAGCGTTGGATGAGATGAGGAATGACTGGCTGGAGAACTTCTGGATTTAGGGATTTGAGTCTTTGGGTTTTTTCTAGTTGGTGGGGGGAGGGAGGCAATGGACTACTCGATAAAATCGAGCAATGCCCCTTATTTCAAGCACCCTGTACAATTGTTGAGCTGTTTCTGAACTGCATCTTTTGATAACCTCAGACCGTCAATATCGATATGACACATGTGTGGCCTTCCTCAGTGGAGCCTTGAGATGAATAATAAAGGTGGTGGGAGTATTGGCTCCACTCATGATCTTGATGTTACTTTATTCTCAGGACTCTCAAAGCTCAGAAGACCGAGAAGCTCTGGCACGCTTGGCAGCAAATGCAGAGGATGCCGGCTCTGCGGATTCTGAAGCGCACATGGAGAAGTATCTGCGGAGTGTCCTGGCTGTAGAGAACATACTTACCTTGGATCGGCTGCGTCAGGTCAGTTTCCTTTTATTGTTTCTCTTATTGGGCTATGTGTGTATTTGTCGGGTTATAATGAAGAGGGCACACTGCAGTATTGCAATGTACACTGTTACAGAGGCCTAGTGGACAAATTACAAAGGGTTCAGGTGTATGAAAATATAGGCTGAATGCTAGAGATGCATGCTGCCTCTGTCTGCTTTTTCTAAGTGCCCAATTCATGTTTGTCCAGTGCTCATTGCGGTTAGGATGCTGGCTGTGTCTGCTTCCTGTGATGTCACGTGTCAGCAAAACTGTTGTTTTAATAGTTGTTATTGCTAACGGAATGAAATAAGGGGTTAAGCATAAAGTTTCTTCCTTTCCCACTGTGTGCAATCCTGCCTTTATCCGCTGTTACCAAGCAGCTTAGAGTTGAATTGTGGTCAGGCTATGGGCATTCAAAGCAGTAAGTTTACTTTAAAACAACCCTTCGTGACCTATGTAGCTGCAGGTACTCTGGAGTAATTCATCCTCAATATTATACAGCTGAAAGGTTCAATTTAATTTCATCAGCTTAGCTCACCCTTCTCCTCCCTCCCAGCAATGACCTCAGCAGCTCAGCTCACCTTGCTTACCTTTTCCAGCATCGATGCAGCACCTGCAGATCCAGCAGTGATTCAGCAGCTCGGCTCTCCAGGCACCTCTTTCCAAAACTAACTCTGCAAGCGGGATCACCCTGCTCCTCCCTCTCAGTAGTGGCTCAGCAGCTCAGCTTCCCCCCATTCCAGTAGGGACTTAGCAGCTGGGCCCTGCCTGCACTGCAGTCCCAGCAAGTGACTCAGCAGCTCAGCTTCCCCCTGCCAGCAGTGTTTCACCATTTCAGTACGCCCTGCTCCTCCTCTCCAGTAGAGACTCTGTAGCTCAGCACCTTCCTCCCAACAGAGACTCAGCAGCTCAGCTTCCCCCTGCTAGCAGTGACTCAGCATATCAGCATGCTACTCCTCTCCAGTAGAGACTCTGTAGCTCAGCACCTTCCTCCCAAAAGAAACTCAGCAGCTCAGCTCACCCTGCCAGCAGTGACTCAGCATATCAGCATGCTCCTCCTCTCCAGTAGAGACTCTGTAGCTCAGCTCCTTCCTCCCAACAGTGATTCAGCAGCTCAGCTCACTCTGCTCACCCTTTCCAGCAGAGATCCAGCAGCTCACCCTGCTCCTTCCTCCAGGCAGTGACTTAGCAGCTCAGCTCACCCAGCAGAGACTTGGCAGACCGGGCTGTGGCAAAGCAGCTCCCATACCTAAAATGTCATCTGTGTATTTAGCTTTTTTTGTGGGGTTCAGCCTTAAGATCAGCGTAGACCAGATCTAAATTCTGTCCCTCTCCCCAATCACACATCATTCCATTGCAGATTTGTGCTCCATTTTAATTCTACAGCCGAATGCACAGAAAACATGACGCGTTTATTTAAGCTATAGATGCAATCGCCCTCTGAAGCTCACAGCTGTTGATCGGCTCCCCCCGTTGGGGTACACACATTTTATGCACATGTATAAAGTTTTGAAGAACAAAAGAAAAAAGGTTTCCTCAGAGACTCACAAGGCTGGACGTGAGCCAGAAATGTCATCAGTCAAACATTCTCTCTGTTCTGCCAACGAAAAGGATTTGTGGCGGTCCTCGTCCGCGTAATGCCCCAGGACTGCGTTATAGATATTCTGTCACAGATCCCTCTTTTATTCAAATGTATTTTAATTGGACGTTTTTAGATTGATGTTACAATAGTACAAAATAACCACTGAGGAGCACACATGGTCCAATATGGACACGTTCCACCAAAAACCACACAGTGGTCCAAGGGTAGACCAGTGTGGACTAGATACGGCTAATAGCAGTGCGTTTGAAAAAGGTGTGGTCACTCCTGCAAGCCTGTTCAGACATTTCAGAGAGTCGGGTGTCTTGCATGGAGTTCTATCGGCTGTGCGGCTGAGGTCTGGTGGTGACCCTAGTCTTGGATCCAGGCTGTGGCATGACATTTAACACACAACACACATGTCAAACATTGAGAACATAGACATGAATTGAACAGATGGAAAGATTGAGGTTGTGAAGAGACCTTCACCCCGATAGGTGCAGCTAGGATGGAGGAAGAGGAGCAAGGGAGTCGTGGTCAGCGATTTGTCACATTTGAGATCATTCTAAAGGTATTTAAAGGTATCAAACCAGGTGCAGGGGTCCAACACTCGGTCAAAGTTGTAGTATTGGTCATTCCATGAGTTTAACGTCTCACATGCGAGCATACAGATGCGCGAGTCCTCTTCCAATGGGAAGTATGGACACTGGCACTCCAGTACTGGACTGTATCATCTTCCAATGGGACGCAGTTGGGCATCTAGCTGCGCTAAGTACCAGTGGCAGCAACCTTCTGCAGTCCCTAGGCATATTCAGAGGTGTAAGTCCCAGTAAGCAAGCCGAGGGGTCTAAAGGTATGACAAATCTGTCTTGGGGCCTGGAAAAGTCTTTGTAATGGTGTCCGGAATTGTTTTTGTTTCCTGTGTTCTGGACTTTTTGTTTATCACTACATTTTTTCTTGTTGGAGCCATAGATTAGGGTGCCAGAAAAAGTTATAGCGGTTCTCCAGGAAAGGGTAAACTCTTTCCACCTACAGAGGGCATAGTTAAATGATTTATAGCTCATTAACTTCATGTGAGAGCTGAGGGCTTTGTGAAACCGGAGGCCTTATCTGAAGTCACCCATTGCTGACACAGACTGGATATTAGGGGAGTTGCTGACCTGCACACCTCTCGGCAGCCCGTCTCAGTATGGTCACAGATAAAGGTTCAGCCTCCAAACAGCGCTTCACTTTCCCATGGAAGTTAATGAGCTGGAGGCTGTAAATGGCCTGCATTCCTCTGTGAGTATGTGGAAAAAGCTTAACAGTGTTCTGGAGAATCTCTTTAACTCTTTTCACTCCACCTCTCCTGCAGGCGTTCTGCCCTATAGGCAGAGGGTATCGCTATCCATGCCGCTTGGATGAAGGCAAGTCTGGGGGCTTGAGAGAGAAGACACAGCCCAGAAGTAACCCAAAACGGTACTCTGACTTTCCCTCTGCCAGATGGGAACAGAGCAGAAGAGCGTCAGCTCCACCCATATTGTTCCAGCAGAGCTGGGACGATATAAAGATAACACAGGAGAGCTCTAGACTGGTGCCACGCAGCAGCAGCCCCCTGCGAGACATTGAGGAATACAAAGCTTATTGGTCCGAGCAAGTCAACCTGTTTCTGACCAATGATTGAGCGATTCCGTGCGGCATAATTTTAACCTCAACAGCCGAACACTAAGAACTTGTTATACTGTGACCCATAAAACGGGATGACTTGAAGAATGACTGGACTCTTCTAAAAAGAAAGCTCTCTGTTCGATTGTCTTAGACACCTTGAGCTCAATTGACCTATTGCTATGGAACCTTGGCAGAATTCTAAAGTTTGTTGCTGGAACAAAAGATAGTTCTGCGTCTTTGATCTCAAACAATGGACACGGATGTTGGTCAGTTTTAGTAGATGTGCAAGCATCAAATGGCAGAAGTTGTTGGCTGTGTGGAATATCCTAGAGCAGCTTTTCTCAAACTTTCGAACACAGAGGAACCCTTGAAGTAACTTTCAGGTCTCAATGAACCCCAATCCATATAATGTCCTCCCAACAGATAGTTAAAAAGATCATTTGTGTCAGTGGTAACCTATCTGAAAGGTAGAAATTGCTCCACCTGCTCAAGCGACCTCTAGCAACCTTTGAAGGAACCCTGGGATTCCATGGAACCTTGGTAGAGAAAATCTGTCCTAGAGTCTCTGTAGACATTGTTCTGATGTATTTTCTGTGAAAAAACTTACAATCTGCTTTGTGTAAAATATGCAAGCTCATAGTTTTGTGTTTTATTAGAGCTGAAGGTAACTGAGCTAACACTCTTGCCCTGCCGAGACAGAGTTGGCTTCCTTCTCGATATTCCCATCCTTTAGACCAGGGTGGGTCTATAGACCTAAACCAGCCATACAAAGGGTGGGTACATAGACCTAAACCAACCATACAAAGGGTAGATCTATGGACCTAAACCAGCCATACAAAGGGTGGGTACATAGACCTAAACCAACCATACAAAGGGTAGATCTATGGACCTAAACCAACCATACAAAGGGTGGGTCTATAGACCTAAACCAACTATACAAAGGGTGGGGTCTATAGACCTGAACCAACCATACAAAGGGTAGATCTATAGCCCTAAAACAACCATGCAAAGGGTGGGTCTATGGATCTAAACCAACCATGCAAAGGGTGGGTCTATGGACCTAAACCAACCATGCAAAGAGTCGGTCTATGGACCTAAACCAACCATGCAAAGGGTGGGTCTATGGACCTAAACCAACCATGCAAAGGTTCGGTCTATGGACCTAAACCAACCATGCAAAGATTCGGTCTATGGACCTAAACCAACCATGCAAAGGGTGGGTCTATGGATCTAAACCAACCATGCAAAGGGTGAGTCTATGGATCTAAACCCACCATGCAAAGGGTGGGTCTATAGACCTAAACCAACAATACAAAGGGTGGATCTATAGACCTAAACCAACTATACCAAGGGTGGGTTTATAGACCTAAACCAACCATGCAAAGGGTGAGTCTATGGATCTAAACCCACCATGCAAAGGGTGGGTCTATGGTCCTAAACCAACCATGCAAAGGGTGAGTCTATGGATCTAAACCCACCATGCAAAGGGTGGGTCTATGGTCCTAAACCAACCATGCAAAGGGTGAGTCTATGGATCTAAACCCACCATGCAAAGGGTGGGTCTATGGTCCTAAACCAACCATGCAAAGGGTGAGTCTATGGATCTAAACCCACCATGCAAAGGGTGGGTCTATAGCCCTAAACCAACTATACAAAGGGTGGGTCTATAGACCTAAACCAACTATACAAAGAGTGGGTCTATAGACCTAAACCAACTATACCAAGGGTGGGTTTATAGACCTAAACCAACCATGCAAAGGGTGGGTCT